AGTATGTCAAAGAGAGTTACATTGAGCCAGGGATAAAAACTGTCAATCAGTTGGTTGATTAGAATTTAGAAAATGCTATTTTTTTTTAAATTACTTAAAATTATCTCCATTTTGATTTTTAATTTATAACTAAAAAATTGCTATTTTATCTATTTCCCATAAATGGAAAATGAAAAGCGATAGCAAAATGCTTTGACAGAAAATCTGTCCTTTTTATTACCAAGAGGAAGAATGGCCAACTACCTTAAGCACAAAGTTAGAAAAATTTTTATAATTTTTTAATCTACCATATTATATAATATTGAACAAGCTAAATTGTTACTAGACTGCCCAGGGAATAGAGTCCTCTAAAATAATTTCCTTACTATTTAGATAAGATTTCATTGTTGAAAATCTTAAGGTTTTTAATGATTCTGTTTTCAAAGCCTGATATTAATGATTCATGAAACTCATTAAATGCAGTTGTGCATCTGATTTGAAATCATGAGGGAGATTTTTGGTCAGATATGCATAGCAAATCTATGTCACTAGACATATGTCCCTGCTACCTATGTCACAACCTTTATGTCTACTCTTGCATTGAGCTTTTGTTACATGTTTTATTTTTGAAATTTAAGAATAATTCATTTATCTGATGGAAAATTGTGTTTCCCTTTTTAAAATAAAGCCCAGTTTATCTTTTTTACTTTTCACAGAACATGAAAGGATGTGAATTTAGAATCAGACAAACCTGAGTTCCACCATGCTTTCTTCCTCTTACAAGCCAAGGAATCTACAGTGGGTTAGTGAATATTGCAAAGCCGCTGGCCCCACCTTCTTAAGATGGAAAAAATAATACTAATTGGAAGAATGATTGTGATTATGAGAAGAAATTGTATTAATAAAGTTTCTGGAACACAGAAAGTTCTAACCTATGCTAGTTCTTTTCTTTCATTATTCAAAATCTAAATAGGAGCCAGTTGGTAATTCCAAGACAGTAGTATGAAGACAAACAAAAAGTTTGTTAACTGACCTTCAACCATTGAGACCTTACCTTATAGGAAGCAAAATTAACAAATATTTTATCATTCTACAACTATACACACTCTGAGACAGAGAGACAGTACTCTGTGCACACATAGGGAAGGAAGAAGAATATGAGAGAATGGTTTTATTATCAGGCACTCTCTTTTTATGAGCAATAACATTTTTTAGAAATTCAGGGCATACAGAATAGACCTTAAATTGACTCAGTGCTGAGAAATTTTTATAAGGGTGCTTTATTTCTTCTATAGTAAATCCAGGAACCAATAAAATCCTTTGATAATTCACTCATTACCTTCTTCCTAAACTATTTATATTATAAACTTTGTCAAGATGCTATGCTTTTGCATTAATAATTCTCATGTATCTCATTTGTGAATACATGAAAAATAGTTGTATAATAAGGTAAATGTAATTTTGAAACATCTTAAAAAAACAGCTGCATAATTTAACAAATGTTGATAGCTTTTCATCCTTAGTGTAAAAGCGTAAATATCCTGAATATGATTGAAGGTGAAATGATCTCTTTATGGAACCGGATTTCTCACCATGAGTTATTCTATCTTCACAAAAAGTGTAGTAGGTTATACAATGGTTAAAAAAAATCACTTTAAAGTAAGAATAAAGATATAGCTTATTAACACCTCATTTTGTGGATGAGACCTGAAAAATTAAATCTTTCTTCTAGAGACAAGTTGGGATTAGTTGTGCATATAGAGTATGAATAGTGTCCATATTTTACTCTTACTAAACAGAAACATGTAATTTCCACTTCAAAACCCTATTATAAATTAGCTGTGTCATTTGGAAGTGCTAAAATTAACTCATTAATGATCAAATAGGATTTTGGCTCTTTGTAATGAGATGTTCCTTTAAACCAAAGTTGAAAGATGAAGACAGATTTTGGGATCTTTAATTCTTAAAAAAATCAGTAGTTCTATTTAGGGCCATATTTGCAAAATACTACTTCTACTCAAGCTATTTTTATTGACAGGACAATTCACAAAGGTTGACCACAAAAATATTTGTACCTAGCAGAAATAATTATAGTTACCTACAATTGTATAGGAATATATTAAACATGTGAATTAATTTTCAAGAACAAGAAATGTTATACCAGGCATTTTTGTAACTAGTGCTATACTTAGGTGCCACATTTGTGGCAATTAAAAAACATTAATGGCTTGGACACATAGTTAAGGTATCAAAGGAAAAATATGCAAAGGCATGATTATTTTATAAACGTGCCACATTTGTGAATTGATGTACAAAACCTCTAAGTTTAAAATTGTCTTTTTATTTATTTTTTTTAAGATGGAGTTTTACTCTTGTCGCCCAGGCTGGAGTGCAATGGCATGATCTCAGCTCACCGCAATCTCTGCTTCCCAGGTTCAAGGGATTCTCCTGCCTCAGCCTCTCAAGTAGCTGGGATTACAGGAGCCCACAATGACATCTGGCTAATGTTGTATTTTTAGTAGAGAGGGGGTTTCCTCCATGTTGGTCAGGCTGGTCTTGAACTCCCGACCTCAGGTGATCCACCCACCGCAGCCTCCCAAAGTGCTGGGATTACAGGCATGAGCCACTGTGCCCGGCCTAAAATTGTCTTTTTAAAAAAGAAATCAAAATAGACAAGTGGGCAATGAGTTATGGGTACTATTCTAGGGTACACTGAAAACCTAGTAACAAGAAGACTTTTGGTACAAAAAATTCAAATTAGCCTCATACCTCCATTAAGCCCATGATTTTTGCCAATTTTTACTCACAAGGCTGGAGTTAGGATAGAATTATATGGAATTCCATATGTATCTAAACCATAGATTTACCAATTATCACTTAAACACAACTTGGAGGACACTATCCAGAATTTGTAGGGCTTGGCCTGATTCTGGAGAAACATCTGCTGAAATAAGCAGTTGGATTTAAATTCAGTCTTAAACCTCTTA